CTGATGTTTTCTGGTCATCTGATGTCAGTCTGAGATGTCTAGCCAAGCTCACAGTGGGGCACTGTGGCCAGGAGTCCCCCAGGCTGCTGCCCCACCCAGGGCACAGCATGTGTGCAGCCTGGCTGTTGCTCTCCTAATCTACGCACTGTACTGTAAGGCATCAAGTTCAAACTTACACCTCCTGGAAATTCTTCCTGGAATTTCATTCCCTGGTGATACTAACCTGTCTTTTTTTTCACTTCCCTTAGAAGCACTGAAACTACTCACAAATACAGATCTAGATGGGGTGCCCAACTAGAGGAACTGGGAAACCTCTTTGATGTTGAAAGCTGTGTTTTATTTATATACTTGGGATAAGCTCAGAGGCTGTCTGGCCAGCCAGGAAGTTCCAGAAAGGAATTTCCCCCCATCAAACCAGCAACCACAATAATATTTTCTCCCTTCCTCTGCAGAGATTGAGTGTGCTCATTTCCTAGCACTTTTGCTTAAAAAATTTGCCATTTTTTCAGGATCCTGGGCCCTTTCTCTCTGATGCTCCCCTTCTAAGCATTGTAGTTTGAGGCAGGCTGGTAGATGGTTCTTTCATCTTATGACTGATAGCTTGTAGCTAGGGCTCAGAACCACTGGTGATCCCATCTGAGGACTGTTATTGAGAAGATGTTTGAAAAGGAATATAGGTGAGCGAGGTGCAGTGACTCTATTTGAAGGAAAGAAGGTCAGGGATCCTTTTGCCAGATGAGACAATTCCTCTTCTTCAGGGATTACAAGGAAAAAGCTATCCAAAACAGAAATCATCACTTGTCTTTGCCTGGATTTCTGAGGAGCCAGGCTGCCCTGCTACCCTGGAGCTTCTGGCTGGCCAGGCTAAACTGCTGGCCGTGTCTGTGAGTGCTGTCCCAGCAGCCCGTTACTTGAGTGGGTGTCATGGGGCCCCTTCCAGGGCCTTTTGCAGAGGAACAAATGTCTGCAGTAGCAGCAGGAGAAGCACAGTGTAAATGGCCATAGTAATCCTGCTCTCCCTGGTTCTCTCTGTATTAGCCACATGCTGACTTTCCAACTGGCCCTAACAATTTTCAGGGAGAGAATGGGCAGCAAGGGAATTATAACAGAGATGGGGCTGCCCAGAAGTGCTGTTAAGAGGATAATATCTTTTCCTTATGTCTGTCATGTTGCCTGTGCTGGTGTGGTCATTGTTTCTCTACCAAATAGCAAGGTTTTCTGAACACCTTTCTTTCCAATTTTCTTTCTGCTTCTTTTCCTCTTTTCATGGCAGTCAAAAACTGCAAAAACAGGTATCCTAGGCAGTTCATTGCTCAGATGTGTCTAAAAGAGATGTATCTCAAAGAGAACAGGTAGCTGTCAGCCTCAGCCATCTCTGACCAGCCCTTCCTGATTATCCCTCAATGTCCAAAGTGTTTGCATGACAGCAGCTGGCTCAGTTCTGGGACAGTTTGTGGGCTTTAAGGTAACATTGGGCAGTTCTCACCTTTGGTTGCTTGTAGCCTTAGTGAAGGGCTCCTTCGTGTGTGGGATGTTTACCCACTGCCTGCCTCACACCCCTGGTATAAAGACCACACAGCCAGAGCCTGGAGAGCACTTATGTGCACTGCAACTTCACCCTTGCAGCTGGAGCATGGGCCGTTTTTATGGTTTGTGTGGTGGGGACTTAGCTTAGTTTGGCCCATGTGAGGGCAGACATAGCACAGAGGCAAAGTCAGAGATGATCCCTTCAGGATGAGCTTACAGGCTCATCAGTTCACACACTGGGAGGAGAAGTGCCCTGTGGTACCTGCTAGAAGTGATTGGTGGTTGGCTCAGGGACAGAGCTTGGGGTTCTTTGTTTTGTCAGTCATACAGTTCTGGAAACAACTCTCATTATTTTTGTGGACTGCCCTTCTCCTCTGCTTTTATCTATATACATTGGACTATGGTTGAATCAGTTGGTGGGTGGTCCTGTTCTGTGGTACCATTCGAGATGTGCCTGGCTTTGGGCCGACATCTCCCTCCAAGCAAGCTCCAGGCTGAGCTTTCATCCTGCTCCTGCCTTGCTATCCTCTTTAGCATTGTCCTTGGCAGACAGATGTTTCTTCTGCGCCTGGTACTTCCTGTAGCTCCAGTGTCTGACTCAGAAATCTCCCAGTTAAGGCCATAAGGGAGAGGGGATGGATGGGGTTTTCCCGGCTCATCCGCCTCCCTTGGTGTAATGCGGGGAGATCCCCAATAGATGGCACTTGAACCTCTTCCCTGGCTATCTTTTTGCCTCCAACCTCGGGATGTTCAGATCAGTGTGTGGAAAAAGGAGACCAAAGAGCAGTTCAGTGTGTAAGAAGGGCCGAGCAGATACCCAGGTGACTTCAAAGGGTGAAAACAGCATCACTTGCCTTTTGAGAGGGCTTGGCCAGGCCTGCCTAATGAGGCCTTCTGCACCCACACACATTCCTGTTCTTGCATCTGGCACTGTCAGTGGTACACCTTGGGCAGGATAAACTGCAAAAGGCATTAGCTTGTCCTCTAAGCACAAAAGGAAACACAGCCTAAAGGGAATCTGTGCATTAAACTAATCCTCACCACATTGTCTTCACTGTTTGCCTCCCCTATTATACAGTTTGGCCGGGATTCTCACAGAGGAATGTCTCCTAGGGAAAATAACACGTGGCACACCAGACATCCAGGGATGTCTTCCCCCGGCAGCAGCAGGCAGGAATGTGGATATTGTGGAAGTGAACCAGGATCCTGCATCAGCTCACAGCCCCCTTTCCTCTCCATGTCACCACAATGCCATGTGTTCTTGCAGGGGAAACTTGCCACTTACCTCCTTTCTGCTCCTCGTCTGGCCATGAGGAATTTAAAGAGATCTTCAAGCAATGCTGGAGTAGGAGTGTGGGCTTACCCTAAATGTTATGTGATGCATTTTTCATGCTTTTCTCATGTGAGTAGAGGAAACTTGGACTAAGTTTGAGATTGAGATTTGGTTTGAACCCAGTAGGCAGATCAAAACTCCATGGGTGAGAAACCCACAGGAACCAAAACCAAAGCAAATTGATCACATGAGATGCTTGGGAAGTGAAACCACTGAATTTTGCATAGCTCCAGCAGTGTGATCTAGTAAGAGGCTATATTACAGTCTCGGAGCTTACGGCTAGGAGCCACAGGAGATACCACTTCTATTCTTGGGTCTTCCACAGCTTTCCTTAGTGACCTTCAGAAAGTCAAGTAACCTTCCTCTGACTTAGGTTTCACCTTTGGGAGTAATACTGTTACTTACCCCTGGAAAATATGTTGCTATCCTTGTTACTTGGTAGTGTCCTGCAACCTGTACCTGCATGGAGAAGGAAAACCTCCAGATCCCTCAGGAAACTTTTCTTTTCAGTATGAGATTCAGCAGCCTAACTTGTCATCTTCTGGGAACCCATCTAGCATGTCAAACCTTGTTCTCGGGGCACAGGTCACATAAGAGTTGTAGCAGTAGGTTGCAGCTATGCTTTCTGCAAGGGTTTCTTTTCCTCTGGGGGTCTGCTAAGTTGTTTGTCACTGGTTGCAGCAGTGTGTCACTGTGTTTCATTCAGAGGAGTTGCTGGATGCTGTGAATCAACAGAGAGGTTGTGATCTGTCAACCAGTTGCTCCTACATTGCAGCTGTGGCTCAAGAGAGAGGCCTTGGTACTTCACCAGTGCAAGGCGTAAGGTTAGCTGGAGAGGGACTTGAGGGTGTGAGTTTCTCCTGAGCCTGCTGGAACACAGAGATGCTCATGGATATACAGTCTGAGCAAACACTGGGAGCAGGTGTGTATAACTAGACCCCAAAAGGCCTGGGTGTACCCAAAGTTGGTGTTCCTGGCTGTTCTGGTTATATGATATACAAAGCAAGAAAGAAATAGCTGTTCTGCAGGTATCTGCTGAAACATGTAGGTAAAGTTTGCGGAAGCAGGATTTAAAGTACTAGTTTCTCTCACATCACAAGTGCCATGACAAAGCATCACTGGCACTTGGTTTTGCAGCTTGCCCTGGGCAGACTTGGCCCTGCAGCGGGTTAGGAGGCCTAGCATGAACCCTCCACCACGCTGCGACCCCTGCTGCTGTTCTGTGCCTTAGTGGGATGATGTGAGCTCAGGCAGAGGCTGTGAGGTACTGCAAATGGGATGGCAGGTTCTGCTCTTCTCAGTTTCAGGGAACTTTCTCAGCTTCATCTCTTCTGAGACAAACAACTGGGCTCTGGCATGTCCCAGTGCTTGAACTCCAAGAGCTCAAATATGGGAAAGCAATTATACCCAGTGGTTTAAGCTGACTGTGGTTTATGGGTCGTATCTTACAGACCATTAAAAGGAAAGCCAGTGGCTTCAGTTCTGGAATAAGTAATGAATAATGGCTTGGGGAATTTGGCTTTATATGAAAAAAAAAAAAAAGAAGAAATTATAAGAGAGTCTCAGTTGTTGGGTTTTGGGATATACCTTGATTATTGGTTAAGGAACAAGAGTAATTCTTATCAAATATTAGATATATTATTGCATCTCTATATGGAGGATTTCTGTTTTCATTTGGCATTTTACCCTCTCCTCTTTGACACAGGATGCCAGACCAGCAATCTGCTCATGTGCACTATTCCTTGTTTTTTTGTATTCATGCAATAAGGAAAGTAGGAGTACCTATAAAAACATGTGGTGACTTAGAGACATAAGAGAGGTAAGGTTGGATTGTGATTTCAATTTGGTGTGAAATTGGGGAAAAAGAGGTGAAAACAAGTCCACAGTGTGAATGCAAGCTCATAGAGCAAGTATGGTTTAATAGCTGAGATAATTTCCTATTGCAGACACCTTCTAAGAAGGCACTAACTTTAAAATTGAAGTATCATTTTCTGGCTCAAACTCTGACTGTTGTAATCCTTCAAGAAAATATACATTGCTAACTGGAGCTGAACTGAGGCCCTTTCCCCTGCAGCGAAGACGTTCTCTTTCTTTTCCACCGTCAGCATTTTATGAGTGCTCTTTCCTTATCTTGTTACAGGCCTGCTGGCTGCGAACAGGGAACCAGTACGTTAATCAGCCTGTGCTCCCCTGGAATTTGTACACAATCAGAGACCTCCACAATGCTTCCGAATCGGTTCCAGGAGGAAGGTTGGGAGAAAAGGCTCTGCTGGCCCCAAGGGACTGGCAATGGGCAAAAGGCACCTTTCACCTAGACGTGGGGAATTTATCACTGGCATGGAGTTGGCAGTGGGTGAAAGCCCTGTTTTGTTACTGCTGGCAAACGTGTCGGCAGCTTCCTGTGGGTTCGAAGCGGCTAGGAGCCTATCAGTCAGTCCCCGATAACTCTCCTGCCTGCTTTGCCAGGGAGGTGCTGGAGGACTGGGATGGAAATGGACCATCTCGGTTGTGTCCGAGCTGGTGCAGCAGGAGCTGTGCCGTCCTGGCCCCGAGTTTGCCTCGGCTGTGAGGAAAGGCAGTGGCGTGCTTCCCTGCTGCTGCAGGCCGCTTGCAAGCTCCTGGGGTGGCTCGGGGACTCGAGACGGGACACACGAGCCCTCTCTATGGATCTGAACGCTCTGAATCGCAGGACACGACAGACAGGTCACGGCATCCCGTTACCCTCCTGGCGCGGGCGGGCTGCGAGCCAGGATGCGGTAGCGCACAGGCAGCTACAGCCAGGGCAAAGCCCGCACAGGTCGGGGACCCAGGGAACGCCGCCCGGGAAGGGCCGGTGACCCTTTAAGCGGAGTCCCCGCCCCGTCCCGCCCCGTCCCGCCCCGTCCCGCCCCGTCGGGCCAATGTGCGCCGCGGCGGCCGCGCCGTTTGTTACAAGTTTCCCGTCGCGGCGGTCGGGAGGGACCCCGGGGTGGCGGCGCCCGGCGGCGGCAGCAGCTGGACGGATGGGGTGCGGTGCCCGCCCGGGTCTGGGCGGGTGGGAGCGCTGCCATGAGCGGAGCCCGGCGCCTCGCCCGGGGGGCTCTGCCGTCCCGCAGTGAGCGCTCTGCGCCCCGCGTCTCTTGTCCCCTGCCGCACGCTGCCAGCTGGTACCTCCCTCCTCTCTGAAGCGTAGCCGGAGAGGGGGTGGAAGGCAGAGGAAGTTTGGTGTTTAATTTTTTTTCTTTAGGCTTTGGAGAGGGATTCCCTGTGCCTCCCGCCACGCAGGGCTGTAGGACAGAGTGCGGTGCCGGAGAGGGAAGGGGCACAGCTGGGAGCGGCTGTCCGGAGCCGGCCCCCCCGCCCGCCGCCCGTACCTGGGGTGCTGGATGCGAGCTCTGCGGAACTCCTCCGAGCGTAGCAGCGGCTCGGCAGATGTAGATGAGTGCGTGTGTGTGTGTGTGCTTAACCCTTTCTTGGCTCCTCGCATTTGTACCATGCTGAAGATCCTCACCAAAAAGCTCAGGAACCAGAGTTTGAACGAAATTCAACCTTTCCAGCTAAAGGTAAGAACAGCCGGGTTTGTCTCGGTTGTTTTTTGAACCCTTCAGGTAACTGCTAACGGGGCCTTTGAGAAGCTGGAAACTTGCGCCGTTTATTATGCTGGGTCAGTTTCCTCTCAGCCAGTGTGGTCAGGAGGAACTGGCCTAAGCTGTATTCCTCTTACTTAAAGTCGTGTTCCTTTGCATTCAGAATTAGCCTGCACAATTCAGACAATACACCAAGGTGTATAAAGACAGATGTATCTTTCTGTTCTTTAGAATTTTTTATTTTTGACGGGATTCATGTTTAACTACATAGGCATTTGCCTATTTACCTTTGTATGTGTACAATCTGTAGTCTCCCAGCCCTTGCCAGGCTAGAACCCCACTGTGCTAGGTACTGTACAAACATGATTTACCTAAAATGCCTTTTAGCTAGTTATTTGCATTTCCCTCCCTTCTGGTCCTTAAGGCCAGAATCTGAGCTGAAATTTTTTTCAGACTGGCTCATTGCATTGACCCATATCTTTCCAGTTTATTCTTAAGTCCTTTTTTTAGTGTTCAAAATAAAACTGAGGATCACAGATTCAGGATAAGGACTCTGTAAGCCCTTCCTACCAAATACAAGCAGGATTTTTGGAGCCATATACAATGGGATAAAAATGGAGCCGTGATGAGTGAGTTAGGAAAAAATACCAGATCCTGATTTGTCAAAATTATGAACCAAGGGATACCTCCTGAAATCAGCAGAGTTACTCTGGATTGGCACCAGTACTGCGGGAAGTGTAGCACCTGGCCCCAAGTTAAAGAAAGGATCTGGGAAAAGTAGCAGCCCTCGTTGCCTGAGCTGGGGGCTGGGGATCTGTATACCAGACTCTAGTGAAGTCTTTTGTATGTGTTACACAGAGGCAGATTGCCGTGTGGCTGCACTTCTGCGCAGTCACTCTGGACAGGCTGATGGCAACTTGGTTAGAAACAGTGCTGATGTTTCATCAAAGTTTGCTGTACTTCTTCCTCTGGGGATTGCACATTCTGTGGTTCTTGGGGGAGGTACAGTTAGATTTTATTTTTGGAAGTAAAATAAGGGCAATGCTTTAGGTTATAGTGGATTAATTTAGTGCAGGGTATCTTTGCAGAGGCAATGGGGATTTTTTTTGAGCATTGTTTCTGGGCCTTGTGACTGTGATTGCCTCCTTTAGCTTTATTGTTTGTCTCTTGGAGCCTCAGGTTGTGAAACTGTGAAAATCTTTGGAAGGAGCTCTCAGAGGTAGATACAGCCTTCAGGATGCTTGGGAGCATGCAGGAAAATGTGCAGGAGTGGGTATCTGCAGCCATTTTGTTCATATTAGTGCCAAGGTTTTGTGCTTCAGACAGGTGGTCTGCATTGTAACAGGTTTAGTGGAGAAAGTTAAGCTTGCACTGTTCCTTGCAAGGCTAACTCATAGCCCATCAGAGGTGTCTTTGCAGCCTGCAGTGGGGAGTGGTACAATGACTGGTACACATGTGCATGGGCAGAAAGCCAGCCTTGCAAACTCTGGGTTTAAATATGTTTTGTAGGCCTTTGGGGACCATGTGCAGCTGCCTGGTCTTGGTTGAGCCTTGTACCAGCATACTAATTGCTTAATGGAGTATGCAGTGCTCTGTCTTAGGTGTTTGACCAGAGCTCCTTGCAGGTAGGGACCCAGGATAGGTGTCACAGGTGGTGACTAGTGTGGAAGCTCCCCGAGGCTGCACTGTGCATGGACCCTGTGTCAAGGACAAGTGTCCTGTACCCTCTTGCTCTAATGCCATCAGATGATGTGGGGCTGCCAGGCACAGACCAGACTTCTGCCTTGTCAACCCTGGTCTGTGTCTGTGCAGGTCTGTATGTATTCTGGCTTGTGTGGTACGTGCATTATTTAAAAGGTCTAGTGTGGTATCACTGAAACTTAGTGAAAATTTAGTTAGGTGTGAGCATAGGATCAGATCTCTAGTCCTGTAAGTAGAGAATGAGTATCAAGTTTGGATACAGTAAGAATTGATCTGCATCCACCACCCAAATCTGGAGCTTTCTGAGCTTTAAAACCATTGTGCTTAGCTGCTCTCCTCCTTCATTACCTGCTTGCTTTTGCACTTTATGACCTTTGTGGGAAGTTCCCAAATTCAAGGGAAAGCAAGCTGCTGTTGTGCTCCTAGCTTACAACTGTACTGTCATTAGGCAAAGTCTCAGAAGACTGTCCTTGGGTGAACTGTCAAATAATTTTTACAAGTTTGGAAGGTGTGACCATCCTTGGATTGGCATCCAAGCTTTGGGAATCTTTTCAGGATGACATTTCTGCCCATTTTTGTACCTTGTGTCCCAAATTGGTTTACTGTGGCTGTGATAAGCCTCAGTCTTTCCCCACTTGGAGAAGCTGAGAGGATGCCATTGCCTCCTGTAAGTGAAACCAGGAAATATGCAAGCTTTAGGTGTTGATGTAATGGACTTCTCTTTTTCCCTACTAAAGTTGGTCTTTAGGCAGTTAACTATGGCTGCTCAGAGGACTGACTCAGGAGATGTGCTAGTGATGCTCAGGAAGTTAGCGTCCCTTTGTTACCCTTTCACCAGAAGTCACCATGGTGGGAAGCGAGGGATTGACAGACTGATGTTTCACCTGCTGTTAGGTTAGCATGCTCAGCCAGCAGTTTCTGATAAGGGTGGCTGGGCTGTCAAGTGTGATAGTTAGGGCTCAAATTTGAGCCCCCAGCCTTGGAAGACTGCTAACCTTGCTGTCTTCACAGAGTTCCAGAATGGGTGAGGTTGGAAGGGACCACAGTGGGTCATCTGGTCCGACCTCCCTGCTCAAGCAGCGTTATCCTAGAGCACACTGCACAGTATTGGATCCAGATGGTTCTTGAGTATCTCCTGTGAGGGAGACTCCAAAACCTTTCTGGAAAGCCTGTTCGAATGTGTGCTCACCTGCATAGTAAAGTTTTTCCTAATGTTCAGGTGAAACTTCCTGTGCATCCATTTCTGCCTGCTGCCTCTTGTCCTATTTCTTGGGACCACCAAGAAGAGGCTGGCTCCATCCTCTTGACACCCCCCCTTTAGGTGTTTATACACACTGATGAGGTTCCCCCTTAGTCGTCTCTTCTCGAGATTGAGGGAGCTGGGCCTGTTCAACCTTTCCTCGTAAGAGAGATGCTCCAGTCCCTTAATCATCTTTGTTGCTCTCCACTGGACCTGCTCCATGTCTCTCTTGTACTGAGGAGCCCAGAACTGGACACTCCAGCACTGGAACACTCCAAATGTGGCCTCACTAGGGCTCAGTAGAGGGGCAGGATCACCTTCCTTGACCTGCTGGCTATGCTCTTCCTGATGCACCCCAGGATCTCATTGGCTTTCTTGGCTCCAGGGCACACTGCTGGCTCATGGATACCTTGTTGTCCACCAGGACCCCCTGGCCCTCCTCTGCAGAGCTGCTTTCCAGCGGATCGATGCCCAGTCTGTACTGGTGCAGGGGGGTATTTTCCCCCAGTTGCAGGACTCTGCATTTGCCCTTGTTGAATTTCAGATAGCTCTTCTCTGTCCATCTCTCCAGCCTGTCAAGGTCCTTCTGAAGGGCTGCGCAGCCCTCTGGGGTATTGGCCACTGCTCCCAGCTTTGTGTCATCAGCAAACTTGCTGAGGAAGCCTCTGCCCCTTCATCCAAGTCATCGATGAATGAGTTAAACTGGACCCAGTATTGAACCTTGGGGGGCACTACTAGTGACAGGCCTCCAACTAGACCGTGTGCCACTGATTACAACCCTCAGCCAGTTCTCAATCCAACTCACTGTCTACTCATCCAGTCCACACTTCTTATGAGGATATTGTGAGAAACAGTGTTGAAAGCCTTGCTGAAGTCAGTGTAGACAATAGCCAGTGCTCTCTCCTCATCCATCGAGGTACTTGTTTCATTGTAGAAGGTAACCAGGTTTGTCAGACGGGATTTACTTTTAGTGAACT